AACCCAGCTGAACAGAAGACAGAAACCCTGTGTGAAGTCAGCTCCTCCCCCAACTCATTAGTGAAAATGAAACAATCCAATTGTAAAATGGACAGAGGACCTAAACAGACATTTTCCCAAAGAAAAAGTATGAATGGTCAACAGGTACATCACTAATCATAGGGAAATGTAAACCAAAACAATGAGATATTGTGTCACACCTGTTAAGAATAGCTATTATTGGAAAGATAAGAGATTATAAATGCTGGCAAGGTTGTAGAGAAAAAGGAACCCTTGTGCACTGTTCGTGAGATTGTGAATTGTTTATAGCCACTGAGAAAACAGTGTGAAGATTCCTCAGAGAATTACTAGAACTATCATATGATCTAGCAGTTCTGCTGCTGGGAATATATGCAAAGGAAATAAAAGCACTATGTTGAAGAGATAGCTGCATGCCCATGTTCACAGAGCATTATTTACAATAGCGAAGACATGGAAACAACCTGAGTGTCCATTGATGAATGGATGGATAAAAATGTTCTGAGATTACACACACACTTATGAATAAATCAGCCATAAAAATAGAAGGGAATCCTACAATTTGCAACAATATGGATGGATCTTGAGGACATTACACTAAATGAAAGAAGTCAGAGAAAGGCAAATACTGTATAATTTCACATGAGAGATCTAAAAAACAAACACAATAAATGCATAGAAAAAAATCATTTACTGAAGATCAATGAGTTTGATGGTAGCTATTGGTTTCCTCAAGCACCAGCATATTCCTCTAATGGGGATATAAAGGCAGTCATTGCAATTCACTTGATCATCTGGGAATTCAGTAAGTTCTGTAATGGTAAGTTCAGGGGTTTTCCTGCAAGAGAAATATATGCTTAGAGAAATCAAATTTGGGGAAAGGAAGAGAAAAACTACCATACTGGTTACATAGTCTAGCAAGAGTAATGTAGAGCAATTATCCTATGAATTAAGGCAGACCAGAGTGGCTCAGATGGTAAAGAATCCGACTGCAATGTGGGAGACCTGGGTTGGGGAGATCTCCTGGAGGAGTGCATGGCAACACAGTACAGTATTCTTGCCTGGAGAATCCCCATGGACAGAGGAGCCTAGTGGGCTACAGACCATGGAGTCGCAAAGAGTTGAACACAATTGAGCAACTAAGCCACAGCAGCAGCAGAGACATTCTAATTTCCTTGAGGAAGAACAAAAGTACAGAGTGGAAGTGGGCCAAGAAGAGGAGAGCTATGGATATGAATTCTTATGTAAGTCTCTGGACCCCAGAAGAGCCTATAGGAAATTCCATGGGGCAGAAAAGATGGAGGGTTGATACCGTGGAGTTGATGTGAATCAGAGTCTGGTCAGAGGCATATAGACTGTTATTTGAGACATAGAAAGAATACAGTCTAGAACTGACCCTCTGGATTCAAGACTTAGCCCTGCCAGTTCCTAGCTATGTTTCCTTGCATAAGTTATATCCCTCTTTCAACTTCTGCATCTTTGAATATGGAATGCAGCTAATAGCAACATCTTCCTCATGGTGGGGGCTGTGAGGAGCACAGGAGAGGGATACAGGCAAAGCATGTGACAGTGCAAGACACATGGTTGGCAGTGATAACTGTTAGTCTTGCTTTGGCAGCTACCACATTCTTTATGATCTTGTCAAGAACAGAGTTTGGCGGGGAGCAGGGATAAATTGTGAGTTTGGGATTGACATACAACACTACTGTACATAAAACTGATAACTAATAAAGACCTACTCTATAGCACAGGGAACTCTGCTCAATTCTCTGTAATGGCCTGTATGGGAGAATAATATAAAAAAAAGAGTGGATATATATCTATATTTAACTGATTCACCTTGCTGCACAACAGGAACTAACACAGCATTGTAAATCAACTATACTCCAATAAAAATTTAAAAATAAAAACAAACTGGGAAAAAGAAAACAGTTTCTCTTCTGCTTTGTTGAAAGACTGTGAGGAGGGGCCAGCATTCATTTATTCCCTTTCTCCTTCTAGCACAGCAAGCCATTTTAATGTGTTCAGTGTGTATCATTTTGTTTACGTGTCTTTGTGCAAAATATATAATTGTGTTTGATTATTTTTAACTTACATAATGATGTGTTAATTTTATTTTTCTGTCCCTTGCTTTTTCTCTTGGTGTAGTGTTTTGAGATCCATCATATTGCTAAGTATCGTTGTTTAGTCGCTAAGTCATGTCCGACTCATGTGACCCCATGGACTGTAGCCTGCCAGGCTCCTCTGTCCCTGGGATTTTCTGGGCAAGAACCCTAGGGTGGGCTGCGATTTCCTTCTCCAAGGGATTTTACTGACCCAGGGATCAAAACCAGGGCTTCTGCATTGGCAGGTGGATTCTTTACCACTGCACCACGTGGGAAGCCCCTGACAAGGGCTGTGGTCCAGATGCAAGAGGAGGGGATTCAGCAAGATGATCTATGAATTGGCCTAGGTCAAAAACAATCTGACAGAGTAGAGATCATGTGACGTCTCTTTGTAGTTACCCCAAATAATGAAAGTGCCTGAGAATCTTTAGGATTTTTCTTTAGTGGAACTAGAGAACATTTAGGTCCACTAGACCTTTCCTGGTGAGTAATATGTATTATTATTGTTGTTCAGTTGCTAACTCGTGTCTGACTCTTTGTGACCCCATGAGCTGCAGCATGCCAGGCTTCCCTGTCCTTCTCTATCTCCTGGAGTTTGCTCAAACTCATGTCCATTGAGTCAGTGATGCCATCCAACCATCTCATCCTCTGTCACCCCTTTCTCCTGCCCCTGTGTTTCCCAGCATCAGGGTTTTTTTCAGTGAGTCGGCTCTTCACATCAGGTGGCCGAAGGATTGGAGCTTCTGCTTCAGCATCAGTCATTCCAGTGAATATTCAGGGTTGATTTCAGTCAATTTAGAATTGACTGGTTTGATCTCCTTGCTGTCCAAGGGGCTCTCAAGAGTCTTCTCCAACACCACACTTTGAAAACATCAATTCTTCAACGCTTAGCCTTCTTCATGGTCCAACTCTCACATCTGTACATGACTACTGGAAAAACCATAGTTTTGATTATACAGACCTTTGTTGGCAAAGTGATGTCTCTGCTTTTTAATACACTGTCTAGGTTTGTCACAGCTGTTCTTCCAAGGAGCAAGCATCTTTTAATTTCATGGCTGCAGTCACCATCTGTGGTGATTTTGGAGCCCAAGAAAATAAAGTCTGACACTGTTTTCAGTTTTTCCTCATCTATTTGCCATGAAGTGATGGGACCAGATGCCATGATCTTAGTTTTTTGAATGTTGAGTTTTAAGCCAGGTTTTTCACACTCCTCTTTCACCTTCATTAAGAGACTTTTTTGTTTCTCTTTGCTTTCTGCCATTAGGGTGGTATCTTCTGCATATTTCTCCCAGCAGTCTTGATTCCAGCCCAGCATTTTGCATGACGTACTCTGCATATAAGTTAAATAAGCAGGATGACAATGTAGAGCCTTCACATACTCCTTTCCCAATTTTGAACCAGTCCAATTTTTTTTTGAACCAGTTCAGTTTTGAGTGTTACCTTGCTATCATGTGAAATGAGCACAATTGTATGGTAGTCTGAACATTCTTTGGCATTGCCTTTCTTTGGTATTTGAATGAAAACTGATCTTTTGCAGTCCTGTGGCCATTGCTGAGCTTTCCAAATTTGCTGGTATATTGAGTGCAGCCCTTTCACAGCATCATCTTTTAGGATTTGAAGTAGCTCAGCTGGAATTCCATCCCTCCACTAGCTTTGTTCATTGTAATGCTTCCTAAGGCCCACTTGACTTCACACTCCACGATGTCTGGCTCTAGGTAAGTGACTACACCATCCTGGTTATCCAGGTCATGAAGACCTTTTTTGTACAGTTCTTCTGTGTATTCTTGCCACCTCTTCTTAATCTCTTCTGCTAGGTCCTTGCCAAATAATATGTATGCTGATTTGTAAATCAGATGAGCCTTGTGAATTGAGATTGTCAGAAGAGGCTATCATAAAACTATTACAAAATTATGTCTTTTTAACCTGCGTTCCCTTCCACACTCTTCATTTTCTCTTGATTAGTTAATTATTATTATTTTGACTGCACTGGGCCTTCATTGCTACACACAGTCTTTCTCTAGTTGCAGTGCATGGTCTTCTTGTTGCCATGGCTTCTCTTGTTGCAGAGCATTGGCTCTAAGTTTCCTGGGCTTCAGTAGTTGTAACACAAGGGCTTTCTTATGGCATGTGGAATCTTCCCAAACCAGAGATCAAACTTGTGTCCTCTGCATTGGTAGGCAGATCCTTAACTACTGGACCATCAGAGAAGTCCTTCATGTTCTATTCTAAGATAATTTGTCCCAGTCCCATTGCCATGCCTCATAAAACTGTAATAATCTCTTTGGCATTAGCTGAGTTCTTGCTTGTACTCTATGACCCCAGAGTCAAGACACAGTATCAAAGCCTGATCTGTTTACTCTCAGAATAACCTTTTATGTTCCAATTAGTATCTTTTGTCAATATCCCCCAAATTGGGCATGGCAGGGAAGAGAAAGGATGAAATAGATGTTCTTTGCTGCTGAATTATCAGCCCCAAATACATTTCTTCCCTAAGAAGTTATTTTTGAGATGGCTGGGAAATTTTGAAATGGAAGTTTGTTTAAAAGAAGATGACAAGGAAATACTTAGGTGTAATAATGGCATTGTGAGTATGTAAGGAAATGTAACACTTCTCAGAGATGCACTGTGGAGTATGTAAGAGTGAAATTACATGATGTCAAACTTGTGTTAATACTTCAGCAAAGAAAAAAAAAGAAAATAGAGGAAGGAAATGTGACAAACACTGCACTGTAAGATAGGCATGAAAAGTTCATGGTATTATTATTTCTAATTTTATGTATGTTTGAAATTTTTCATAACAAATCTTTAAAGTCCTTTAAAGTCCTTTAAAGAATCTTTAAAGTTCCTTTAAACAAGGAACTCTTAACTCTATCTGGTTTACTCCCCAAAATGAAAAATAAAAGTGATTTTACTTACACATGGTCCATCATGCAGTTTCACTATGTTAAGATTTTCATATCTGTAAGAAATTATATTTCAAAATGATTACTTTTACTCTATGGTATATCACAAATTATGTCTAAATTTGATGTGATAATCTTTAGCTAAGTTTGAGAAGAAGACATTTAGCTAATAGTGATTTCTTATTTAATAAGTGATTTTAAACTATCTACTATATTTTTATTTGTCAAAGAGGTTGAGTATATAAAACATATTCAGTCTGAAATCAAATATATAAAATTCAAAATAATCTTGAGTATTTAAGTAGAAATGCAGAGTATTAGGATGCGAATGTGCAATAAAGTTAAATTATCCATTTGATTAAAGGTAAAGACATTACTACTGACCTTACAGAAATAAAAATGGTTATAAGGGAAGGCTATGAACAACTGTACATCAGTTGATTAGATAACCTAGATGAAATGGACAAATTCCTATAAATGCACATTACCTAAACTGACTCAAGAAAAAATAGAAAATAGCAACAGGACATATATCAAGTAAACAGACTGAATTAGTTATTAAAAACCTCCTAAAAAAGAGAAACTCAGGACCAAATGACTTCTTTAGACAATTCTATCAAATATTTAAAGATTTGATACCATTTCTTTTCAAACTCTTCCAAATAGTAGAAGAAGATTCCTGATCGATTCTGTGAAGCTAGAATTACCTTAATAGCAAAGACAGGCATCACAAAAAAAGAAAACTACAGACTAATATCCCATCTGAATATAGATGCAGAAACTGTCAGCTAAATACTGGCAACATTAATTAGCTGGCTTAAAATTCAACATTCAGAAAACTAAGATCATGGCATCCAGTCCCATCCCTTCATGGCAAATAGAGGGGGAAACAATGAAAACAGTGACAGACTTTTTTTTGGGGGGGGGGGCCTCCAAAATCACTGCAGATGGTGACTGCAGCTATGAAATTAAAAGATGCTTGCTCCTTGGAAGAAAAGCTATGACCAACCTAGACAGCATACTAAAAAGCAGAGACATTACTTTGCCCACAAAGGTCCGTCTAGTCAAAGCTATGGTTTTTCCAGTAGTCTTGTATGGATGTGAGAGTTGGACTATAAAGAAAGCTGATGGAGAAGGAAATGGCAACCCACTCCAGTATTCTTGCCTGGAGAATCCCATGGACGGAGGAGCCTGGTAGGCTACAGTCCACGGGGTAGCAAAGAATCGGGATAGGACTGAGCGACTTCACTTTCACTTTCACTTTCAACCCTCAGCTGAGAAGACTTTCCAGCTCTTGTGTTTGCTATTGATTGTTTTCTTGAGTTCTCAAAGACCTGTGACCATATATTTTTTTAAGTTGCCTGTTTTCTAATTGCATCACTTTACACACTGTTGTCTAATAATATGTGGTATTTAGAATGCCTTCTTAATTATTTTGGGCCGCCATTGCCTGTATTTTCTTTGCACCTCCTTGGTTTTCTTACGTGAACTCATCTGATAGGGAAATGCAGCTCTTTTGTTTGCCCTCTCTGCATACTGGACCGTCTGAGTCAGTGTTCTAACTAATCCCTGATGGTCTCTGAGCTACTGTTCTACTAGACTCAGTAGTTATGTGCTTCAGGAATTTTTCAGTAGAATTTGTCCTATTAGGAGACTCTTGGTGTCACCTTTGTTATCTTAAAAGCTGGTCCCTTCACTGAGGCTCTTAATTTTTTGAAAACTTGATGCTATTTCAGCTGAAAAAAATTTGCAAGGCTATTTAAAAAATTGAGGGAAGCCATTTAAGAAATTGAAAAGTAATCGCAAACAACATTGGGTAGTTGTGACTTTCAGTTCTGCATCAGTTGAATTTTTGTGCTATTTTCTCTGTGTACATGGTGGTTCTATTTTTCTCCAATAAAACTTTTTATTTAAAAAAATTTTTAAAAATGAAGAAAGCTGAGTACTAAAGAATTGATGCTTTTGAGTTATGGTGTTGGAAAAGACTCTTGAGAGTCCCTTGGACTGCAAGGAGATCCAAACAGTCCATCCTAAAGGAAATCAGTCCTGAATATTTGTTGGAAGAACTGAAGCTGAAACTCCAACAATCTGGCCACCTGATGTGAGGGACTGACTCATTAGAAAAGACCCTGATGCTGGGAAATATTGAAGGCAAGAGGAGAAGGGGACGACAGAGGATGAAACGGTTGGGTGGCATCACCGACTTGATGGACATGAGTTTCAGTAAGCTCCGGGAGTTGGTGATGGAGAAGGAAGCCTGGCGTGCTGCAGTCCTTGGGGTCACAGAGTCGGACATGACTGAGCAACTGAACTGAACTGAAATACTGGCAAACTGAATATAATAGCGTATTAAAAGGTCTATACATCATGACCAAGTTGGGTTTATCCCACAAATGCAGAGTGGTTCAACCTAAAAATAGAAGCCAGTGTACTAAACATCATATTAAAAGAATGAAGCCAAAGAGTCACATGCTCATCACATTCATGTTAAAACAAAACACACACACACACATCATTTCAGCATCAGCAATTAACATGGATATGCAGTTCAAAACCACGCTGAGATATCACCTGACATCTGTCAGAATGGCTATCATCAAAAAGAATCCAAATAACAGATAGTGACAGGATGGGGAGAAAAGGGAACCCTTGGGCACTGTTGGTGGGAATGTAGATTGGTGCAGCCACTGTTTAAAATAGTATCAGTTCAGTTCAGCCACTCAGTTGTGTCCGACTCTTTGTGACCCCATGAATCGCAGCACGCCAAGCCTCCCTGTCCATCACCAACTCCCAGAGTCCACCCAAACTCATGTCCATCGAGTCAGTGATGCCATCCAGCCATCTCATCCTCTGTTGTCCCCTTCTCCTCTTGCCCCCAATCCCTCCCAGCATCAGGGTCTTTTCCAATGAGTCAACACTTCGCATGAGGTGGCCAAAGTATTGGAGTTTCAGCTTCAGCATCAGTCCTTCCAATGAACACCTAGGACTGATCTCCTTTAGGATGGACTTGTTGGATCTCCTTGCAGTCCAAGGGACTCTCAAGAGTCTCCTCCATCTAAAATAGTATGGGGGTCTCTTAAAAAAATTTTTAAATAGAACCATATGACCCAGCATTTCCACTCCTCAGTGTAATTAAAAGAAAACCAAAACGATAATTTGAAAGGATACATGTACCCCAGTGTTCATAGCAGGATTATCTACAATTGCTGAGACATGGAAGCAACCTAAGAGTTCTATCAACAGATGAATGGATAAAGAAGCTGTGATATACATATACAATGAAATGCTAATCAGCTACAAAAAAAAAAAAAAAGAATGAAATTTTGTCATTTGCAACAACATAGATGGACTTGGAGGGCATTATGCCAAGTGAAATAGGTCAGAGAGAGAAAGACAAATACTGTATGATATCACTTATATGTGGAATCTAAAAAATTGCAACAAACTAGTGAATGAAACAACAAAAAAACCTGTCACCGATACAAAGAATAAACTAGTGGTTATCAGTGGGGAGAGGGATGGGGTGAAGGACAATGTAGGGGTAAGGGGAATAAAAAGAACTATTATGGGAGGATATGAAATCATATGTGTGAAACTTAAAACCTGTTATGCACTATAGAATTTGAAGACTCATTCAATGAAAATTATGTTTAATTAAAAAACCAAAAATCTGAAAAAACCCATGACCTCTGACAAAATCCAACACCCTTTCATAATAAAATTACTCAGAAAACTAGAAATTGAAGAGAAACTCCTCAATATAACAAAGAACATTTATGAAAATCCCACATCTGACATTGTACTCAATAGTGAAAGTTTGAACCAGAGCATTAGAAAAGAAAAAAAATGAGAAATCCAAAATTTTATATTATTTTCAATTATATTTCAATAAAGCTGGGGGGGAAAGCCATCCAAACTGTAAAGGAAGAAGTAAAATTTTATATTTGAAGATGACATGGTTCTCTGTATAGAAAATCTCAAAGAATTCTTATAAAAATTATTAAAGGTAATAAATTGAGCAGTATTTCAGAATATAAGAACACAGGAAAATCAACTGTGTTTCTATAAATCAACAAAGAACAATCTGAAAATAAAATTAATTTAAATGTTGCTTTTACAATATCATTCAAAAAATAAAAGACCTGAAAATAAATTTAACCCAGAAGGTTAAAGACTGTACACTGGACGCTACAAAACATGGCTGAAAGAAATGAAAGAAGGCCTAAATAAATGGAAAGCTCTCCCATCCTCATAGATTAGAAAACTTAATATTGTTAAAATGTTTATACTACCCAAAGCAAATGACAGATTCGATGTAATCCTTATCAAAATCCCAGTGGCATCTTTTTTTTTTCAGAAGTGGAAAAGACTACCTTCAAATTTATATGGAATTGCAAAAGACCTGAGTAACCAGAACCATTTTGAGGGGGGAAAAAAGTTGGGAGGACCCCACATTCCTGATCTCAAAACTGACTACAAAGAGAATCAGTGTTGTGGTACCAGCATTAGGTTAGACATAGAATAATGGAATAGAAATGAGAATCCAGAAATAAACCCAACATCTATGGCCAACTGATTTTTAGCAAGAGTGCCAAGACTATTCAATGGGAAAAGAATAGTCTCTTCAAAAAATGGTGCTGGGGCAAACTAGATAATTGTATACAAAAGAATGAAGTGAACCCCTATCTCACACGTAAAGTTTTTGCTGGCAGAGACTGGAAGAAGGCTTCCCTGGTGGCTCAGTGTCAGAGAATCCGCCTGTCAATGTAGGAGACACAGGTTTGATCCCTGGTCGGGGAAGATCTTATATGTCACAGAGTAACTAAGCCTGTGTACCACAACTAATAATCCTGTGCTCTAGAGCCCAGGAATTGCAGCTGTTGAAGCCTTTGCACACTAGAACCTGTGCTCTGCAACTAGAGAAGCCACCAAAATGAAAAGCCTGCGCACCACCACTAGAGACAAGCCTGCACGGCAACGAAGACCCAGCACAGCCAAAAAGAAATAAAAAAATAATTTTTAAAAAGAAAAAAGACCAGTAGATTTATTGGTTTTAGCCATTTAAGACAATTTCTGTTCAATCTTTAGGAGACCCATAAGACAATTAAATGGGACCTGTGTAGTGACTATACATGACCAAAACATGCAAGCTTCACAGAATTATTCCAGAAGTCATTAAACTAACAAAGAGCAACAGTAACAAACCTTGGAGAGCAGAGAGAATCTGATTTCCAGTGTTTCCTCCAGTTTTCAACAACAACAAAAAATTATGACACAAAAACACCAAGGAAGTACAGCACATGCACAGTACTAAAAAGCAACCAAGGACTCAGGAAGGTCATATGTTGGACTTAGAAGACAGGTACTTTGCCCAGCTACCTCCTCTTCTTCATCAGAATTTTATTCTTTGGCCTGAGGAAGCTTAAAGATAACCTTCATCTGTGGTCACAAGACCTGAATGCTGTGGCTACTTGCGCTACTGAGTTTGTTCCACTTGATCTTTGTCCAGGCCAGACATAGCACAGTCACTTCAGTAGGTTTTTGTTTCTGTCAGAATGGGATCACACTGGGGAGCTTAGGGAGGGAGAGAAGAAATGGAGGAGCAATAGTGGAGCAGTCTCTGGAAGGAAGATCTAATCAGTTGGAAGTGTTCCAAGGAGGCCATTCTGGTCCTGGCCACTTTTAGCCTCTTGACTTGAGAGAAAGGAGAGTAAAAAAAAAATGAAGACTTACAGAATTCTGTAGCAGAGGTGGCATTCCCCACTGTAGGTAATGTGGTCACTGCCACATATGGAGTCTGTTGGCCTGAGGTAGGCTAAAATCCAGCACTTATTTATATTCTTAGTGCATTCAGCCTGAAGGTGAGACACAGACACTGCATCAGAGTCCTTTCTCTGGCTCCTCTAGCCTTGATTGCTGGGAGCAGGGGAGAAGGATGGAATATGGAGCAATAGACCAGGAGTTTGGAGAGCAGGCTTTCAAAAATCTCAGTATTTGACCCCTGGTGCTCACCACCAACAGTATGTATATAACATAACATAACACATGTAATCTGTCGACTCCCCAGTCTGGGCTATAGATTCCTTTTAAGGATGAAATTTCCTGCCTCACTAATTACAAAATGTGGTTGTTAGGTTTCAGAGATTAGAATATGCTTATGAACATTTCTGCTTGACTTGTGTATGGTGCTTCAGATAGCAGTAGGCTCAGACTTATTACCGGAGAGTTATGATTTTGAAAGAAGGGGATGGAGAGAATGAGAACCTCACTTCATCTGTGGGAGGCAAGATGTACGTCATAGCATATCTCAGTTGAAAGAATGTCCACCTCAGCATAGGACAGACCTGAATTTGAGCCATAACTTCCTCATTTATTTAATGGTGCAAAATACTTGCCTTCTATCCCACAAGAGAGTTGTATGAACTGATTGGGGTTTATGCCCAGGAACATATAAAAGGCACTACATATAGTTAGTGACTCAGCTGTTGTTGTGGGGTTATCCCCACACACGTTTTCTCTGGCCGCTGCCTCCCAGAAAAATGAGCCAAGACCATCCGGGAAGCTGTTTTTCCTCTCCATTCCTGAGCTCGGGAAGCAAGGAAGCAGAGCTTACCGTTGTCTTTTCTAGGTTAGTCTCTCTGCCCATAGGAAGAGAAAAGTCTGGAAGACAAAAGCATATTCAAAAGAGTTGCTGCTCTGTCTTCTGCCCTTAAGGGTAAAAGTGAGGATGAAGAAGACCTGGTTGACACCCAGGAAGCACCAGATCCCATCAGGAGAGGCAGAGGTTCCTTTTTGATGCATGCTGCCCTCCAAAGAGGGCTTCAGAGGAGCAAAGAATCAGGAAACTTCTGTCCCCTCCACTTTGTAAAGAAGAGATCTTAACTCTGACCCTTCCCCTTCACAGGTAAATAACAACTTCTACAATCATTCTCTGTTCTTTTTAGAAAACATACTCTAAGTTATATGAAGTAGTTATATTGAGATACCTTAAAAGATGCTGGGTTACATATTCTTGATCCAAAACAGTCTTTGCAATTACACACACACACACACACACACACACACACACACAATACTTATATAGTTTCATATAACTATATTAATTTTATGTAGTTATATAATTATAATGATCTGATAATATAAAATATGTATAACATATTGTCAACTCTCTCTATAATATATGTATCTTTATTAGATATCATTCATATACCATAGAATTCACCTATTTAAAGTGTATAGTTGGGGACTTCCCTGCTGGTCCAGTGGTTAACAATCTGCCTGCCAAAGAAGGGGACATGGGTTCCATCCCAGGTCTGTGAAGATTCCACATGCCACAGAGGAACAAAGCCCATGTGCCCCAACTACTGAGCCCATGAGTTGCAACTACTGAAAGTGGTGTACCTGGAGGCTGTGCTCTGTAACAAGAGAAGCCACCACGTTGAGAAGCCTGCACACTGGCTCTCTGCAACTAGAGAAAGCTTGCATGCAGCAACAAAGACCTAGCACAATAAAAAATAAATAAAAATTTAAAGTATACAATTCAGTGGTTTTTAGTATATTCACAGAGGTGTGCAACCATCAATACAGTCACTTTTAGAACATTTTCTTTTTTTTTCATTTATTTTTATTAGTTGGAGGCGAATTACTTTACAATATTGTAGTGGTTTTTGTCATACATTGACATGAATCAGCCCCCTCAAAAGAAACCCTGTACCCATCAGCAGGCTCTTCGCATTCCTCCCTTCCCCCAACCCAGACAACTCTAATCTACTTTCTGTGTGTTCTGGACACTTCATACAAATAGAATCATACAGTATGTAGTCTTTCCTGTCTATCTCTTTCACTTAGTGTTTTAAAGGTGTATCCATGTTATCGCATGTATCAATACTTCATTCCTTTTTATAATTAAATAATATTATGTTGTATGTATATACCATATTTTGTTTATCCATTAGTCTATTAATGGACATTTGAATTGTCTTCACTCTTTGGCGATTATGAATAAGGCTGCAGTGAGGCGAATGTGATAATCACAACAGTATGGAAACTTGATACGCTACTGTGAATATTCTTTTTTTTCCCCCTGTACCACATGAGATCTTAGTTCCCTGACTAGGAATCAAACCCAAGCCCCTGGCAGTGGAAGCTCAGAGTCCTCACCTAACTGGACTGCCAGGGAATTCCTATGTGCCTGTTTTTGTGTGGTCATGTGTTTTTATTTCCCTTAGATGTATACCTAAGAGTGGAGTTGCTGGGTTATATGGCGACCTTTGGAGGAACTTCTGGATTATTTTCCAAGGTAGCCACACCATTTTACATTCCCTCCAGCATTATATGAGAGTTCCATTTTCTTCACATCTTTGTTAATGTTTGTTATTATCTCTCTTTTTGATATATGCTTTACAAATAACTTCTCCCATTCTCTAGGCAGTCTTTCATTTTGTTGACATCTTTTTTGGTATCCTTTACATCACTAAAATGTTTAATTTTATGAAATCCAACTGATTTTATTTTTTGCCACCCTGTGCAGCATTCAAGATCTTAGTTCCCTGACCAGGGATTGAACCTGTGCCCCCTGCATTGGGAATGTGGAGTCTTAACTGCTGGACCACCAGAGAAACCCCTGATCTATTCTTTTGTTCCTTTTTTATTTATAATGCAGGCTTTTTAAAAAATTAACAAATTTTTACTTATTTTTGGCTGTACCAGGTCTTACTTGTGGCATGGAGGATCTTCAATCTTTGTTGCAGCATGTACAATCTTTAGTTGTGTAGCGATATATGGGATCTAGTTCCCTGACCAAAGATTGAAACCAGTTTCCCTACATTGGGACCGTGGAGACTTAGCCACTGGACTACCAAGGAAATCCCTGAGTTTTCTTTTTCTTTTTTTTTAGTAGTTACACTGTGGCTTACTGTATTTATCGTAGCTTATTGGAATATACTTCAGATTTATACTATTTTAATTCGAGTGATATATAGAAATGTTACTCCTATATAGCTCTGTCCTTCCTTTTATTACATTGTTGTTATACACATTACATTTATATTAGTCAGAAACCCAACAGTAAATTGCTATAATTATTATACAATTTCATGTCTTTTAAAGAAGCTTAGAGAAGAAAGAACAGTGGGTATATATTTAGTGAATTTGTAATATTAATGTTTTATTCACCATTTCTGGTTCTCTTCCTTTGTTTCTGTGGATTTACTGTCTAGTGTCATTTCCTTATACCAATACAGCTTTGTTTTCAACCATCAGTTTTGATACCAAAGCACTGTGTGAATCCTTTCTTTCTGGGGGTTCAGTGTCTGCATGACTCTGAAGAGTTAGACTTAAATAAAACAGGACAGCATTTCTACTTTACTTCTAACTTTTCCATGATCTTGAATATACAGCAGAAAATGTGGGCAAAGTAAGGACATGGAACTCACCAATTGCGAAGGCAGCCCACCTGGAAATAACCAGAACAAGAATGGCGCTAGAGAAGACCCCTTTCATGGTGGCAGAAGAACTGTGGAAATATGAAGAGTTTGACAGTAAGACAGAAAAAATTCCACACAATGTACAAATTCTCAGAGATCCATCATTAACCAGGAAATGAAGTCTAAATATTTAATGTTTTTTTCTTTCCTTGGGTTATTTGGAATGAATTGTGTCTGATGCAATTACATTGCCTAGTTCATTTCCCTAGAGTCATGAGAAAAAAAATGATCTCAAAAATAGAATTTTAGAAGGGAATATATATATATGTATGGGTCTATTCTTGGACTCTCTTTTCTGTTCCATTTACCTATTTGTCTATACAAGAGCTCAAGCCATAGTATTTTAATTATTATGGCTCTATGATAATGTCAACTGAAATGAAAACACACAACATAAAAGCTGTGAGTTTCAGTTTTATTTGCTGGCTTACTGAGGACTATAATCTGGGAGAGAGCCTCTCTGATAGCTCTGAAAAAGTGCTCTGAAGTGGTAGGGGGGTAAATCAGCATATAGGTGATTTTGGCAAATGAGTATGTGCAATCCAGCACACATCTTGGTAGAAGTTGGTGCTAGCCATGAGGAGATGTCTCAGTTAATGATTTTAGTGCTTTTCTAAGTATGGGAAGGTGCAAGACATTGGGTTCATAAAATTTTCTCCTGAAAATATCTACCTATCTGAAAGTCTGTTCTGCCAGTTTCCCCAGAACACAGAGTGCCTTGTTTCTGATCTTCACCCTGAACTCCTTTCAGGGTGTGTGAACATCAGTGACTGCAGTGGCTAATGAGTCAATCCTTGTAGATCAAGCAGATGGCAGACAACATTCTTTTGTGTATAAGTCCTCCAACTTTGTACTTCTTTATTTTTACCTTTTCACCTAAAACAATAATGTATTAGATTTATCTGTACAATGGTTTGAATTTGAAGATTCAGGAAATGTGTCACCTGGCTACCTTTAAAAATAGAATTTTAGAATATGTCAGGACTTCCCTGGTGGCACAGTGCATGAGAGTCCACCTTGCAATGCTAGGGACACTGGTTTGATCCCTGGTCTGGGAAGATTACACCTGCCACAGAGCAACTAAAGCCCGTGCGCCACAACTACCGAGTCCGAGATCTAGAGCCTGTGAGCTGCAACTGCTGAAGCCTGTGCATCTAGATAGAGCCTGTGCTTCACAACAAGAGAGGCCACCACAATGAGAAGCCTGTGCACTGCAATGAAGAGGAGCCCCCACTGTCCACAACTAGAGAAAGCCCATGCACAGCAACAAAGATCCTGTGCAACCAAAAACAAACAAACAAACCTGGGGAAAAAAAATCTTAAAAAAAAAAGAAGATGCCAGAAAAATAGGTAGTAAAGAATATCTGCAGGGGATCCTTTGGTAAAGCATGAGCACTAAGACTTTTTCAATGATCTGTTCTAAAGTTGAGATTTATTTCTGAGGGAAGAACGGCAGTCACTAGAAAGTGCAGTGACACGTGTGAGTCAACAGACAATAAGAAATGGGAAGGTTCAAAACACTGAATACTCACTCCCATATCCTTAATCTTCCATTATATGATGACTTTTGTGTTAATACTTAGTAACCTATAACATTATTGAAGTGAAAACCATAGCATATTTATCAGTAGCTTACTGGAATTATTGAAAATACTACAGTACAAGTCAATTGGCTTTATCTATAGGTTTTTATACATTTTCCAGGGAAATTATATATCTAGGTAGCTTCTGCCTAAGACCTTCCCTGAATAAAAACAAATAATAAATAATGTAACTCTTTTCCTACTCAAAAGTTTGCAAATTATTAAGACCACCTTACCTGCTGTACTTCCACAGTTGCTCAAAGAAACTTACTGGACAAAATGTTCATTTCCAGCCTGTTGATAATGAAATAAGGATGAGTGTGTGTGTGTGTGTGTGTGTGTGTGTGTGTGTGTGTGTTTGTGGTGGCTGGAGGGGTATAACTGTCTTTTTAAGGTTGCAGTGCCTGGCAGCAGAACAGAGTGAACTGTGAAACAATGAATGTTGTTCACCATCCAGTTCTACAAGTATGAAGTTAGCCACTGCTGTTGCTGACCAACGGTGCACTCGGATGAATTCAGGATGAAAAAGGATGAGGAACTCTGTGCTTTGGACAAACAGACCCCTTAGATAGTTAGATATAGATCTTAAGAAGAATTTTAATGAACCCACAGTCTTACATCTTTCCATGCACTAAAAGCAGTAAAAAAATAATTAGCTGGAGTTATTTATTCTTTGTGAATAGAAGTAATCTATAACCAAGATGTATGCTGGACTGCATATATTTTCTAGCCTAAATTCATATGTAGGGACTTCCCTGGTGGTTCAGTGGTAAAGAATCCACCTGCCAATGCAGGGGACATGGGTTCAATCCCTGTTCCGGGAAGGTCCCACATGCTGTGGTGCAACTAAATCCGTGCACCAGTTATTGAGCCTGTGCTCTAGAGTCTGGGAGCCACAACTACTGAGCCCACCTGCCTAAACTGCTAAAGCCCACATGCCCTAGAGCCTGTGCTCTGCAACAAGAGAAGTCATCACAAAGAGAAGCCTGTGCACCGCAACTAGAAAGTAGCAGCAGCTCTCCACAAGTAGAGAAAGCCCATGCAACAATGAAGACCCAGCAAAGCCACAAAAAAATACATAAATAAATAATTGCTTAAAAATCATATATAAGTTAACTTCTTTCTCTATTTCTTCAGAGCAGTCCCCTCAGAGCTACTGAGAGGCTGTCTCCCAGGCTTTAGTCCTCAGTAAGGTCCATGAATAAAACATAAACTCATAGCTCTTATGTTGTGCATTTTTCTTTAGGTTGACAAAACTTTAAAGTTAGGAAGTGAGACACAATTCAAATCTATTTCTTCCAGCTCCAAATTCTATATGCCTAAATCTCTTGAGTTGCTGTCTCAGTTTCCTGAGGGTGGTGTGTACTATCCACTGCACTCTAAAATATAGCTGTTTTTGCCAAACTGTTTTAGAGGTATGTCAAATCCAATTTTTGAATTCTTACATTTTTATCTGTATTGCAGTTATATTCAGGACAGCTTCAGATATTTGCACAATACTATAAATTGCTACATCTGCAGATGCTGTTAATTATTTTATCAATATTCAAATCCATGTATTCACTTTATCAAAACATTTAGTTTAGAATGTTTTAGTTTTATGCTGGTATCTTACTGAGGACTAAGCCTGGGAGACAGTCTCTCAGATAGCTCAGAAGAACTCGCCTGAATTGACAGAAGAGGGGCCAGTTGTATGTATGAATTTCGGGCCTGAGAAATGCATGCAGTCAGTCATAAAAAGTTTACTGCTGATCACATAATATATCTCAAGTTAATGATTTCAGTACTTTTCTAGAATCTAAGGTCATTGAAATTCTTCCTTAGATATGCATCTTAACTATTTCAGTTCAGTTCAGCCACTCAGTCATGTCCAACTCTGTGACCCCAGGGGCTGCAGCCCACCAGGCTTCCTTCTCCATCACCAACTCCTGGAACTTGCTCAAACTCATGTCCGTTGAGGCAGTGATGCCATCCAACCATCTCATCCTCTGTCATCCCCTTTTCCTCCTGACTTCAATCTTTCTCATCATCAGGGTTTTTCCAATGAATCATTTCTTTGCATTAGGTGGCCAAAGTATTGGAGTTTCAGCTGCAGCACCAGTCCTTCCAATGAATATTCAGGACTGATTTCCTTTAGGATGGACTGGTTGGCTCTCCTTGCAGTCCAAGGGACTCTCAAGAGTCTTCTCCAACATGTCATGTCCGTCTCAGTCATGTCCGACTATTTGCGACCCCATGAATCGCAGCACACCAGGCCGCCCTGTCCATCACCAACTCCCAGAGTTTATTCAAACTCATGCCCATCGAGTCGGTGATGCCATCCAGCCATCTCATCCTCTGTCGTCCCCTTCTCCTCCTGCCCCCAATCCCTCCCAGCATCAGGGTCTTTTCCAATGAGTCAACTCTTTGCATGAGGTGGCCAAAGTATTGGAGTTTCAGCTTCAGCATCAGTCCTTCCAATGAACACCCAGGACTGATCTCCTTTAGGATGGACTGACTGGATCTCCTTGCAGTCCAAGGGACTCTCAAGAGTCTTCTCCAACACCACAGCTCAAAAGCATCAATTTTTCAGCGCTCAGCTCTCTTCACAGTCCAAATGTCACATCCATACATGACCACTGGAAAAACCATAGCCTTGACCAGACGGACCTTTGTTGGCAAAGTAATGTCTCTACTTTTTAACATGCTATCTAGGTTGGTCATAACTTTCCTTCCAAGGAGTAAGTGCCTTTTAATTTCATGGCTGCAGCCACCATCTGCAGTGATTATGGAGCCCAAAAATATAAAGCCTGACACTGTTTTCATTGTCTCCCCACCTATTTCCCATGAGGTGATGGGACCAGATGCCATGATCTTAGTTTTCTGAATGTTAAGCTTTAAGCCAACTTTTTCACTCTCCTCTTTCACTTTCATCAAGAGGCTTTTCAGTTCCTCTTCACTTTCTGCCATAAGGGTGGTGTCATCTGCATATCTGAGTTTATTGATATTTCTCTCAGCAATCTTGATTCCAGCTTGTGCTTCCTCCAGCCCAGCATTTCTCATGATGTACTCTGCATATAAGTTAAATAAGCAGGGTGACAATATACAGCCTTGACGTACTCCTTTTCCTATTTGGAACCAGTCTGTTGTTTCATGTCCAGTTCTAACTGCTGCTTCCTGACCTGCATACAGGTTTCTCAAGAGGTGGGTCAGGTGGTCTGGTATTCCCATCTCTAAACTATTTAGGGGCCCATATATCTAAAACACAGAATGCTTCATCCTGAATTCCTTTCAGGATATACTGTAGGTTAGCAACTGCCCTGGCTAATGACTTAATCCTTGTAAAACTACAATAGTGGGCAGCATTTTGTTTTGTTTTGTTTTGTTTTACAGTACCCTGAGTCTGAGATAAGTGAATGAAGGATGGCAGTCAGATATTGCTAGAAATCTGGAT